TTCCTGCCAGAAAGAGCCGAGTGGCATAAAATGAAAGCAAAAATGGACGCGCAGGCGTTTCTGGCCGTCAGGGCAGAGAAAATGTAGTGGCTCCCCGCAGCGTGCAGCTCGAGCAAAGTCGAAGGGAAGAAAAAGAAGCAAAGGAAGGTAGACGGACAGGTGTCTGGCAGCCATCTTGACCATCTTGCGCGCGTTCAGAATGTCAGGCCCTGACTTAAGGTCGAATAAACGACGAAAGCGGTATTCAGCGCATCCTACAAAATTCATGAGCCGTTAAATTCGAACATCCGCTATAATCGGTCTGCTCGCTTCTGCTCCGATCTCTCCCCTACACGATATTCTTCGTTATCTAAAATTAGACTAATCTAAAATTCTCAAAATATGTTTCTATCTTGTCGTACCCTCTCAACGTGAATGTTCGTTCGATTGACAAGGAAACCACGAACGACGCAACAGAAATTTCTGTGTACAATTCTCGCATTTGCTCCAAAAAAATTGAAACAGCCCGTTTCCAATAATAAGTGTTTCCAACGCGAATTTATGCCAGCTTAGTCGGCGCGTCGCACGCCCGGGTCGCGAATTGTAAACAGTCGCGATCAATGGCCCCTCCTGGAAATTCGTGTCCTAGCCTGTTTTCCGAGACAACGCGCGATAATTGTCGCGTCTCGCCTTCGGCCGCGCGTGCGTAACGTGTTTGGTAAATATTACATGAAAATAAATTTCTCGTTACACGAGGAGAGGGAAAGTGGCGCTCGAAGGTCGAGACACGAACACGCGAGTAGACCGAGCGAGAGACTACTCCTCGTGCGACGCGTTTATAGGATTCTCCGTTGAATTATCGCCGACAACGTTTTCGTATAATCGTGACTATAATCGTGACTATAATCGTGACTATAATCGTGATCAGCCATCGGGGAACGTGGAAGCCTAATCGATGGGTACCTAATCCGTGGATACCTAATCGTGGTAGACGATAGTCGCGTTGTGTTTACGAGCGGTTCGAGCTCGGGAGTGCTCGATTTCGAAACGAAATTTTGGTCGATTGTGGTGTTTTCAGTGGTGTTGGTGTTATAAAAGAAATCCTTCGAGCTATTTGAAGCATGCGAGCCGTTTAAAGTGTTCCGTAATAGCCGTTCGCAAACGTGGCCCGTCGTGAATTGGAAACGCTCGCGAACAAAAGGCGATTGTGCATAGGACGTGAAACTCGGAGAAACGTTTCTCGGAATCTCGGTTTAACGGTGTTCTCGAGGACGTTGTTCGTTTCACTTTTTACAAGGGAATCGTTGTGCGAATTTCGGGAGATATCCGAGGAACGGAAGTTGGTCCAGAGGGCGCTCCGAACGCAGGAAACTCGAGACTCGGAGCACGTTGCATAACGTAAACGCGTCGAATTCGTCGAATCTAAATCCGATCAAATTTTTCGCTGCGACATGATCGAACCGGTGAGTCGATTACGATTATCCCGATTAGTTTTTGCGATCGATTGCCGATAGTGCGCGCGCAGCCAGCCTCGAGCGAGCAAAACAAAGGAGGCCGCGAGGCAAGGATGCGTAAGGCCTTTTTTGGTGATATTCGCTGTATGTTGCTCGGGCGAACTGGTCTTCTGGTCAGGCCAGTTCCGAGCGACCGGATTTTTCAAAGGTTGCCCGCGGCCCGAACCTGTCCTGTTCCCATACCGGACTGGTTTATCGGCTGACGCTGCCTCTCTTCTTCTGGCTGCTCGATTTCTGAGCAACGGCGACGGAAAAAAGAGACACCAGCACCAGCAGACGGAATTCCTGTCCTGTCGGCCTTCGGCCATCTCCAGGCTGCCGATTAACCTCCTCTCCGAAATGAGTAATTTCTCCATCGCAATTCGATCTCTAATTAAATTCACGAAATTATTCTATCACGAATAGCTGTGTCGCGTTTCTAAATGTTTATGTGTGCTTTGACACGTACCGTTGCACCGTCCCATGACGAGAATCAAAAATAACATGTCAAATAATATCTTTTCCAACGAATGTAACTTCAGCGTCGTGACACGCGTTCGATTTTAGTCGCGGTGTTCACGGTTAGAGTAGCAAACGGCGGCGTCCCGAGGAGCGCACGAAACTTTGCTCATAAAATTAAAAGTTGGCCGAACGAGTGAATTCAACTCTGAAAAGCTCGGGCCCCGAGCTGGTAACGCGAGACTTGCGAAGCGAGGAAAGTTCTTGCTCTTGATTAATGCACAACGGCTGTAGGACATTCTTTCGCGGCCTCCTTCCACCAGGAATCCAGAAGCTCGGGAAAAAATTAATCTCTGGAAATTGTTTTTCATCGGGTAGAAGTAGCGAATAGATTTATTTCTTGAAAATATAGCTAGATCATCAATTTCTTTACCTAATAATACTATCACTCTTTTCATTCTGCATTTATCAATGGAATCGATACCTAATACGTCCTCGGCTTCGAAGCAATAACGCAATTTCATCGAATCGATCGCGTCCAACCCAATTCCGAGTTCCCTTTGAACGTACAAAAACGTTTCTATCTATCGTATCTTTGCCGAGAATACTGGTCTCCTCGTGCAGGAAGTATGGCAAAGGCGAATAGGATAATGCTTTCACCGAATAATCCCCGACTCGGGCCAAGAGGTATCATTTGCGGAATAGATTGCGAAACACGAGGTCGATTTATGCCGAGTCGAGTAATCGAACGAGTCAGCCTCCTTTCAGAGACGCGCATCGCTCGGATGCAGAAACTGGTTCTTCCGGTACACGTCGTAGCGTAATAATAAGCTCTGCTCGTTCTCGGAATGGGTACGTCTCCCCTCGCTCCCGTGATCCCATGGAAGACGTTTCTCTTGCAGTCTCCGATGCGTTCACATTAGCCGCGACAAGTATCGGTACAGAGATTAATGTCAAGGAAAAGTATCGCTTGAAAAATATTACGTAAGCAAAGCTAAAGTTACCTTACGTTCACGTAAAAGTTGCAGGTAACCGTTATCTATTTAAAGTTTATTATTAAGCAAAAATAAATCTAGAGTTGAGGGGCACTGGGTTTATCACAAAGGAGTTTTATTTCTGCTGCCTTCGTCAATGGACTATTTTTCTTTTAGGATTTACGAGCTAGACTTCTTATGCGTTTTCGAATAGCTTGCACTTTAGAGATTTTTTACACATCGATTAAAAAACGTTGTAACCCTTTCCGTTACACTTTTAGCTACCTTTGCTTGCAACATTCGTGAATTTTGATTACAGAACTCGGTACAGTATCTCCTAGCTTTATGCGCACTGTCTTTTCTTTCTAGGAATAAGTGATGCTGACGTTTTGTTACTTGATATCTGTTTACATATGATACGGCCCGAAAAATCAATCCCATAATCCTTCGTACTCTTTGCACGGGCGATAATATCGACCAAAAGTTCCATTTATCTTCCACTTTCGCCTGCGAATAACGCGTGCAACCCGAAAGGACCATTTGTCGCAATGCTCGCCGTTTCGTTTCCCCGTTTACTTGTAAAACTTGTTTTCTTTTTTTCCCCCCTTTTCCATACTGCTCTTGTTATTCCAGCGCGAAAAGTGCACGGCGGACGCGCGTGAAATTCGCTCGCAAATACGCGCGCGTTTATCGCGCGGATTCAACGCGTGCATTGTAAAGTCCGCCGACCGAGAATCGAGATAAACACGCGCGTTGCGCACGTAACAGTATAAATAACTTGCGCAAGCATTAATGAATGCTTATCCGGCCGACTCCGTTAAAAAGTCACGATATGTGCGCCAGCTACTGCCGGCGTTATTATCGCGGCTCTTTTCGCACGCACACACGCTCGTCCCACGAGTTTACATAAACAGTCGTACGTGGTGTAATCGAACGAGGGGGTTTTATAAAAGAACGAAACGAGACAAATTTGTTTGTAGACTCGCGATAACATTTTCGAGGACGAGTATTTATAAATCGAATGCGGCACATTTTTTCCTGTTTCAAATTTCTGGTATCGTTGCTACGTTTCTTACTGTATCTTTTTTACTCTCTTTTTTTCTCTCTCTCTCTTTTTTACTCTATTTTGAAGCAAACAACGATCTCGTTTTGGTAACAGTGCTTGTATTGTTCACTGTTTGAATAAAATTATGTCCATCTTCGTCGAGAACGCCGGAATTCCAGCGCGCCAAGATCGCGAACACAATAAGAAGCGTTGAACGCGGCGGAAACCGCGTGTAACGTTGCCGGGTTTGAAGCGTTCGGGCGAATAGCAGCTAGGAGGAAAGAGGGAACCAGATTCGCAGGAACTTGACGATAATTATAGCGTCGGGAGTACTAGTACTTGAACGGTCTCGTTATATTCGAGATATCGGAGCCACTTCCTCGCCTACGCTCTTCTTCGCAGCTGATGGGAACTCCGATTCACTGTGGAGAGGACTCGGTCGAAGCGGTTGCGATAAATCGATAACAGCCACGGATGCGGAGCAGCGAAAAACCGCTCGTTTTTCTAATCTCTCGAACGCCAAGTATTTCTCGCATTGCATTTACTCGGCTTTAAAAGTACTATACGGGGTTGAAAAATGTCTCTACAGAAGAGGCTAAGCTCCCAACTAGTGATAGGCAAAATCCTAGGTTTCGAATAAATCTAAAGTTTGCTGATACGTTTGTCTCGTTTCCTCCTTTGAACATTTCCCAGAGAAAGAAACGAGACTTCAGATTTATTCGAAACCTAGAGTTTTGCTCATCTCTGCTCCCAATCCCAAAACGTGTGATATTCTGCTTTCTATTTAACTTCGTCTCCCAAAACCGAACCATTTGATGTTCCATATTTTGATAACAAGAATATCCATTTTTCTGGAATGCGCCTAAGCTGCCACGCATACCGCGTGGTAGAAGAGAAATGGTCAAGCCCCCTTCGGTCGTGGACTAAACTCCCTCGAACGAGTTTCGTCGCGACGAAACGTGCTCCCGTTTGAAATACCGACCAGATCCTAAACGAACATGCACGGAACGAGCTATGCGTGTAACCTCGAAACTTTTGTCTGCGTTGCAGGGAACGGCGAGAAGCGGAAGTCCGGTTGGAGCGTGAACGCGAGAAAAGGGAGGCCAAGATGGAAAGGGAGAGACTCGAGAAGCAAAGGGCCGCCGAGCAGGCAGTTCACAAGCACTTCGAGGAGTCCTTCAGGCTGGCACAACAAAAGGTTAGTCAGCCTTTACTGCCTGTTTTTCCCCGGTGCGCGTGTTTTAATGACCTCCGGCCTTCTCCGTCGTCGGAGCAGCGTGTCCAGCAGATGCTCGACACAAATTCTCGGGCATTATGCGCCTCTTTAAGCGGCCGATCTGTTCTCCGTTGGGGGGAAACGATATTCTTTCGTTTTTATTTCTTTTCCTCGTTCCCGAGATCGAGAATCTCGGAGCTATTATTTCTCCGGACGCTCGAGCGATACCTGTTTGGATTAGCCTCGGTCAGAATTTGGCAAGTTCGAGTCGACATTTAACACTACAATTTATTATTGGTCTTATTATTAGCCTGAGAATTTTATTTTCAATTTTCTTAGATTAACCGTTTGACTGCTACGCGACCCAAAAGCGTCCATTTGTCTCGAAAACCGCGACGCAACGCTTTTGCGCTGCGAGTTTCAGTGTGTCTTTGACATCAAGTCAAAATATGTCCCGCAGTTTTCGTGCGTTCTTGCAAGAATCGATTAGCAGTCAAACGGTTAATTTTTCAATATTTGAACAAAAGCTCCTCATCTATTAATTCTCTACTTGTTACCGGCGAAGCTAGCTAATAATCATTTTCAATTAATCTCGTGAAATACCCTCCACTCTCTACTATTACGCGAATTACACCCTACACGTATAAAAGTTGAACAAACGCGGTCCGAATCGAAGCGAAACGGACTTGATTGTCACGAAATGCACACGAAACCCTCCGGGCAGGGTGCAATGCGGGGGATTAATAACGAGGAAGCCCCGAGTCTCGCCCCTAAAGGGAAAAAACACCCCAGCTTTCCATCCGCATCGATCGTTGCTTTTCAATCCTTGTTGAAAACGCCAGGCAAGTTTTCCTGGGAAATTGTCTTGGGGTGGACGATTCGATTAAGGTCGTTCGATGGGGGTAGAACCTGTTCGAGGGTGGTCTTTTGTTCGACTCAGGCTTACGCGATTCGTTTACAAAGTAGACGAGTGACGTTATTCGTCCTCGAGTTCGATTATTCGTCGGCAAAGGACGTTGAGAAGGGGTTGATTCTCGGGTAGCCACCTAAATTATTGATTCGTTTGGTTTCGAGGAATGCATGAAAATTCCCCACGAAAACCTTCGCGTGAAATAATTCGGCGGCTTTCCAACCGTTTCGTCGAAAGGAAGCATTTCCCTCGTAAACCGCTACTCCGATTCCAGGAGCAGTTGGAAATTCCGTTTGCGGAATTTCGCTGGAACCTCGGCGAAAACGAGCGAGTTTTCCAAAAAGCCGAACTCTCGTGTGCTCTATGTTAACGTCTCGTAAAATTCAATGAAATTCCTTCGTAAACCTCAACATTTCATACGTATAGTGGCTGGAATAACAGGTATTTCAAAGGAACTTGTTTCGAGTAAGCAATTATCGTTCGTAAACGCGATTAACAAGTTGGCAGACTAAAACTCGTGAAAATTTGTACAAGTTAAAATTTCTCGAGACTGTCAAAGACTAGATGATTTATCGTGGTATTTAAATGTTTCACCTGTTAAATTCACAAATACTATCCAAATTTATTTTCATTGTCACTTTCATTACTTTCGTCACTTTCGTTCATTTCTTTAACCCTTTATTTACTGGCGGGACATACAAATCCCGTGGTACTTGTATTAATTTAAACGCGTTGGAAACTATTGCGACTTTCAAGTCCACTTCCACGAAGTTCGCTTTTCTTTTTGAAAGCTTGTTAGAGACACCTCTATAAGATGGACGTGTAGATTTTAAAAACTTTGTATAAATTCAGTAAACAAAGGGTTAATTCGATTACTGAAAAGTACCGTCGCCCATCTATGACATGGCGACCAACGTGTTAATAATAATTTAACACGACGAAACAGTTAGACCAGTGAAAACGTCGACTGGGAAGTTATTTTCTTTCGCGCGTAAAACACGGCGATTGAGAGAGATGAGGAACGAAGGAATCGTGAAAGAGGAGGTCGTGGTTGTTCGCAGAGGCCAACAGCCTCGTCCCTAGAAAAGAGGGATAATCCGAAAGCGGAGCCTGGAGAGCGAGTTCTCCTGGGGTTTGAGGGTCTCCTGCGTTTCCCTGGGAGGGTGGTTCCCAGAGCAGATACGGGTAGGGACACGCGGGATGCTGAGAGGGGTTTTGGGCAATCAATGCATTCCAGCACCTGCCTTTTGTGCGTGTTACAGCCCTGACAGTCACCCAAAACCTGCCCCACACCTCTGTGTACTTTGCTGCCTGCTTGGCTGACAGGGTTTCTCATTTTTCCTCCGGCCTCCATGCAGGAAACTATCGATTCTCGATTTAAAATTATAACTGTTTGCACGCGTAAAAAACAAGGTCGTGTTTCGTGACCACTGGTTAGTCTCTCTCAGGAGCTGAAGAATTCATTGTTTTCCTTTTCTTTTTTTCCTGCTTGACGTGTATTATAAATTCCTCGAAAGTAAGCAGCGTGGTTGCCTTTTAGTACGAAAAGGAAAAATGTTCTCGTAACGTTCATGTCAACACGATCGTTTCTTCGTTTACTTCCTCTTGCCCTGAAAATCAACAACGCTGATTTCGAGACAAGTTTTCTTGCGTCACTCTGCAGGAATACCTCGAGATCGAGATTTTGATGTTACGTTTGAAAATGTTTACTGAAAGTCGCGAGCTAGTTGAATTCCAGTATCATTCTCAGCGTAGATACGTTATCGCAAAATTATATCCAGCGTGGCCAGTTTATTCGAGTACGCGTAACAAGGAAACGGACAATTTCAACGGACCAAGCGATGATTCGGTAGCTGAACCTTGTATCGCTCGGGTGCAACACAGATTTCGCATGTGTTATCAACACAAATCGATCAGCATATTTAACAACAGCAGGCGCAATAAAAACGATTGTAATTGGAGAATGTTGGCATACGGTTTGGTAGGTCAATTTATTTTATTAGATCGTCCAGAAAGTTCGTGCCGATTTCTAAGAAAAATTCAAAAACACGTTTGAATTTGAATATATATTTATTGAATTACATATAGGTGACATTTTGTTCCACACCTTTCCACCTTTCAAGAGATGGATACATGTTGTTTGTTTTCAACCGCTTTGATATATTCAGACCTGTATCACCTACCTAAAATCGACATGGACTTTCCGGACAATCCAATAATTTGAAAAAGAACAAACAGCTAAAAATTTCTCAATACCACGAAGTTATCCATGATTCCCTTATTACGCAACAGGGATAATCTTCTGGGAGTCATTCTTATCTCGAACGTTGAGTGAACGTTGAGTATCTCCTCGTAGAATTTTTGAAAGAACCCTCTTGTCTCTTTTATTCCCTTTTAAATCCCTACGTGTCGTTCTTCGCTCGTCGTTCGAGTAAAATTCTGTCCATGTTCGAAAGTTGAGAATCGCTGGGGACACATTTGCGGCCACGTATGGGCGCACAAACCAGAGAGGATCCTTTCACGCCGAGGCCCAGGCCGGGCCTACCTGCCCTTCTCACCCGACACGAAAATCTTCTACCAGTCTTTGGCGAGCTTTCGACCCGCTCGGAAGTCCCGAATCGTCCGTGAGCGTGACTTACTCGCTCGACTTCCCTCGTGGATCGTCCCCGTCGCGCAGATAACTCTCGATAACGGCGCTTATCGGCCGACTATTTTCCATTTCGTGGCTCAGATAAAGCGTGACACCCGGCTCGTTTCGACGAGCTGATTATCGTCGTCCCGGAGTTTCGGTGAAAAACTCGAACGATTCGACAGCGCGTCGTGCGTAGCTCTCGGAATTCTCGATTTTTCATTTTTGGTGCGAACTATTTGTAACGATACTCTTTTATCGCGTCGGTGAGTTCATCGGCGCCGGGTATCGAGTGACGAAAATTAACGTCTCGAAGTGAAGAAACATTCAAGTATTCAGTTTGACTCTTTTCGTGGATGGTTTTTTTGTGAGTTTCCACAAACATGAAGACTACCAGGACGTTGGATTTATGAGCCTGGACGTCTCGTTTCCGGCTCGTCGTTCGATGGTTGGTAATTTGTTAGTTCGCAAAATCTGTGCTCCGATAAGACCAATAATTACGCAAATTGTGGTCGATATATCCTAGAGATTGCGAAGCAAATAGAAGCGTTTTTATTAAAGTATCGAAAGTGGGAACGATAGTGTCGCGATTCGCGACGTGATAACGTACGCCTGGTGTCGTCGCAGATAACAACGTTGAGAATACGTAGAGGGGACCGACGATAAATCCTCTTATTCGTTGCATTGGAATCACGTGGACCTTTTGGGGAATGGGGAGACATACGTTTGTGATACGTTTCGATGACTGTGCACTATGGACCAACTCGACTTTATTTATGGCTCCCAAGTCCGGCTTTTACGCGTCCCACGCCTAATAAAAAAGCTTCTCCTTTTCTTTTCATACATTCATTAGTTTCTGTTTGGTAAACGTGCACCGTTTTGATTCAATCTCTGAAAATTCTTCTAAATGGTTTAATATGTATTATATCCTACATATTTTATATATATTTTGCGTTTACGAACCGCGTGCATTCCCGCAAATTATTACTGGCTTTTACACATCCCACGCTTAGTAAAAGCTTCTCCTTTTCTTTTCATACATTCATTTGGTTCTGTTTGGTAAACGTGCACCGTTTTGGTTCAATCTCTGAAAATTCTTCTAAATGGTTTAATATGTATTATATCCTAAATATTTTATATATATTTTGCGTTTACGAACCGCGTGCATTCCCGCAAATTATTACTGGCTTTTACACATCCCACGCTTAGTAAAAGCTTCTCCTTTTCTTTTCATACATTCGTTAGGTTCTGTTTGGTAAACGTGCACCGTTTTGATTCAATCTCTGAAAATTCTTCTAAATGGTTTAATATGTATTATATCCTAGATATTTTATATATTTTTGCGTTTATGTGCATTCCTGCAGGTTATTACGTATAGTTTTGTGTTAGTTCTTCGAGTTTCGGGCCGATTCGCGCGATTTTCGCCGGCGTTATTTATTGCAG